TTTGTCTTGTTTTATTATATTAAAGCCAGCAATGAATTTGATGAGGAAAATGCATTGAAATTGTACATTTTATTTTTCAGATTAAAAAAAAGAAAGAAAAAGTGATTTGACATTCAACAAATCAATAAGATGATAGTGGATATTAATAAAAAAAAAACGGCGTCAAATAAGGAGTAACCATAAAATACTGTTTAAAGTTAGACAAGTGATGCTTCGGAACAAATGCGAACACTTTTGAATGCGCGATGAAGATATCAGACATAAACATTTAACATTGAAGTTGCTGAAATGAGTTTGGTATTCTCAATTCATCATATTTCAACTATCGGTTTTTGTTAAAGAATCAAACTCATTATATGATTCCGCTTAATTATTCCGGGATATGTATAAATAGTATAAATATAAATATAGTAGTATAAATAGTAAATCAGTGCTTTTAGTTTTGTGTGATATAATATTGCTCAATATTACAATATTTGATAATTATGGATTTCTGAGACATATTGTGCAATAAACTTCTGGTTTTTCATAATCTTTGGTATCAAATACTTAAAAGGACGCCATGCCTCAAATATGCAGTTAGTTCCATTGATGGTTGGTATCTTGTTACCGTTTCATAGAAACAGTACTCACTCATTTTCCATATAGAACAATTTTGCGATTGATATAATTATTTTGAATAAGTTTTCGTATGGAAGTTAAAATACTACTTTGTTTACATTTAGCTACCTTTACGACACATTACTCAGATCCAACAATACATTCAGCATCTGTTAAACATCTAACATGATCTAAATCTATGATTTAAACATTATTGGACACATGTTTGACATATGTAATGTTTTTTTTTTATATTTATAGATTTATTGGACATAGTGTGCCTTTAACATTTTTAAAATTTGGTACTTGCTTTTAACATCCAATATCTTTCTTTGATAAACATCTTTTTCTTAATATGTTTGATATGTTTCAATGTTCAAATTCATTTTTATTTTTGTTTCTGATTTTCGATAATGAATTAGATATGAGATCAGGATTCTCCATAAAAAATTTATTAGTTATTTTTATTACATTCGATTAATGTTTAGTAACCTCAACTTTGTCTTATTTTGTGTTTGTTTCAGTAACAATGCATAAAATTTTATGATAAAAATTGAAAATTTAAGCTCTTTCTTTGTTATGCATAAATTTTATTGCAAGTTAAATGTTGTTTTTTTTAAACAACAAGAAAACAACAAAATCAACAATAAAATAAACAAAGAAAAAAACACACAAATAACATGGGGAAAAACGATCTAATAAAACATATCATTGAAAATACTTTTGAAAATATTTAGGACAATAATTGTCATAACAAAGCAATTTTTAAGATACTTTTATTATTAGATAAAAATAACAGTTTCATTTCCTATTATGTATCAATATTGTCTCTTTTGATTGATTTTATTTCAGTTTAACTTGTGTGACATAATATTTATCATAAAGTAAGAAATGTATATTTTATTATATTATTTTTAAAACGCATTTATTCATTTTAATGAAATACCTGAAGATAATGTAGAACTTACAAATTGTGTAACTTATCAACCTAAACTTACATTATTTCTACGTAATGCGGTTTGACTATTAGTGCTAGCATTTTTAGGTCAGTGAATTTATTGACTTCTAGAGAAATGATAAATGTGAAATCGACTGTCTGTAAAATGGACATTACTTTACAACTAGAGATTGAACGATTAGCCTAGAATGATAGCTTATCAGTTTTGCAACTTCTTTGAGTAAAGTTATTTTAGAACATTGAATTGGCACTTTACACAAAAGTCTTTTTGAAATAAAACTTTGGTTGAATGAACTCGGTCTTCTTTCTGAACCGGGTTATATAATTATGATATTAACTCAGCATTAAAACAATAGATTATCATCACATCATCGCATAAATAATCAATATTAAAATACGGCATTTTTATTGCATTTTGACCATTTGATGTTTTTGTCCCCTTTCAATCACTTTATATTACAGCAATAATTTATGTATTTACTTTCATTAATTAATTTATTTTTATTTATTCATTTTATTTATTTATTTATTTGCTGTTAATTAATTAATTTATTTATTTATTTTCTTATTCATTAGTTATTCATGTATTTACTTATTTAATTTGTTTATTTATTCATATAGTTATTTATGTATTTACTTATATTAACTTATTTATTCATCCCTTTATTTATTTGTTTATTTATTAATAATTAAAAAAAATAAAAGTAAAAAGTAAATCTTCCTATCATTAAATGCTATATTAACTGCTTTACATATACTTTACGAGTAAATTACCTGTTCATTTTGTTTAAAGTTAGAAGGAAAGCAAAGGTGCTTATCTTTCACCTATTTGCCACTTCAAACAACTTTTCTATGCCCATACTGAGTTAATGGGTAATTTGGAAACACATCCCGGTAAATATAACAGCTATATTGTTAAAGGGAAATGTTTTCTGATATTTTCTTAAAGACTTCTAAAGCATAGTAGTAAAATAAGAAAAATGGTATAATATTATACTAAAAATAATTGATATTAACTATTTTTTTCTCATTTTAATATCATCCGGGAAAATAAATAAAATATTTATTTTTATTGTGAAATATGAGTTGATGTCAGTTATTAATATTTATATGAGCTGTGAAGTTTTATTATTATAATTATTATTATTTTATTATTATTGTTGTTATTTTTATTATTGTTATTGTTATTATTTGTTTATTGTTGATATCAATTATTATTTTTTTTTATCACAATAAATATTATATTTTCGCGTTAGTATTTCTAGTATTTACTACTAGCTTAAAAAAATATAATATTACATGTAATATCAGTTTAAGATAGCTTTTGCTTATTTTTTTCTTATTTTTGATGTTTATTTACTACATATTTTTATTGTAACAATTTGATGTATGATGAAAATATTAAATAAAGTAACGAATTGTCACAAAATAAAACAAATGTTTGCGCTATTTAATTACCCTCCATTTTGTCATTGATCATACCATCTGTATTAAAACGGGGGTAAACCATATACCAAAAAAATTGTCATCTACATAAATAACAGTTAAAGGCAAAGATCATACTAACGTATCAGGAATGTAATGAAAAATGTATCATGCATATTTATTCATTTGAACAGTATTATAGTTACCATTTGCGAACACTCATACTGATATCGGATAATGAACTGAATTAATGGCAGTATTACTAACCCATTTAAAAAGAATAAGAAATATATTATTTTATGTATACGTATATGAATTCATCAAAGAACTCCGAACATCGATTCCCAACATTATCCTTAGATAATAAACCAATATAAAAAGAAAGAGGAATATTACCCGCAAATGCAATTGAAGTTTAAAAGATAGGGGAATTATTCCCTATGTCAGCCAACACTTTATATATCCCTCGCTCTCCCTCTCTCTGCATGTAAATTTGTTGCAGAAAAAGTGCCTTCAGGTCGACCCCCGGAAAAAGGACATCTGGAATTTCCTTTTTTATTCTGGAACGCATTAGTAGTGAATTTATTTGTACTGTTCTGTTTACTATCATATGTTAGAATGAGCAAATTATTGTCATTTGAATAATCGTATGTGTCCTTTATTCTACCATTTCGTATCCATTCAAACTTAGACGAAAGCAAATAAAGTCCAGTTTTAACTTTTCACCATTTACAAAGTCTAGGTAGTAGTCGTTTCCAATCAAGAACTCAATTGATGAAGATTCACTTTCTTTTGGCATGGTGTCCGCCAATTGTACAATTGATAGAATATTATTCACTTTATCAGAATACAGATCTGATGTTGGTTTCCTTTGTAATTCACCACTAATTAAAGGAACTATATTGGCAGTGATTTGCACATTTACCATTATGTAGCATCACATCAACCTTTACGTATTTTGTTTTGATTGTTTTTGCTTTTGTATTCCCGCAAGTCACGACATGGATTTCTTGTTCACCTTCCCCTTTTAAGCATAACTTACAAGCTAATTTTTCTGATATATAGCTTCGGTGCGATCCAGATTCAAGTAATACACGTACTCCTGTATCAGTTCTTTCACTTGGGTTTTTTTTATTTTTGTAAGGACAGTTTGCATAAGAACCATTTCGTTAATTGGCATCAGTCCATTATCATTTCTTACATCAAATGAGTTTGTTATTGTATTAGATTCTGCTGCTTTGTAAGATATAACATCTGTTGACATCTTAACACAAGCTGCGATGGTGGGCGTTCATTTTGTCACAGTACACACACTTCTTGTTTGATTTACAACCTTGAGATAAATGTCCTTCCTTTAGACACCTAAAACAACTGCTATTTATGCGATCTTTTCTTTCACATATTGTCTTGTATGTAGTACACTCATCGCTCCAGTGATTTTGATTACAATATCGGAACCGTTTAATTGGATGCACGACGGTGCTGACTATCTTCCGTTGTTGTCTAGAAGTAGAAACTAGCACCTGCGTTGATGTTTTCTGTATCAGTCCTTTGTAATATGGACTTTCTGCTTTTGTATGATTGTGTGAAAGACCTTGCGTTTAATGTTTTTGAAGATGTATTGTCTCTATGTTTAGAAGCTATGTTATGGCTCTTTCAATTGCTACAATGTAAGCAAACATTTTTTCCATTAACGTACGTACCGTTCATTTTTTATCAGTTTAATTTTACTATAGATACTATTATGTCCTGGTTTACATTCTCTTCTAAAACTTCCAAACTCCTTATATGTTGATCAACACCATCAAGAATATATCGAATTCTGACTTCACTTGTAGCGACTGGAATATTTATGAGCTGATCTCAAGATATCCACCGCCATTATGTAATTGTCAATAGTTAATGCCAACCCTGTCACTGCAGATTTTGCTTCACCAACTAGTATTCCCTTCAGATAATTAAACTTTTCAACATTTGATATGTATTTGTTGTTATGTACAGCATTTTTGAAGCTGTCCTAAAATTCTGTCCATCTTGTTTTGTCACCATTAAAACAGATCAAATCTATCTTTGGAAGCTTAATTGATGACATTTTCTTTCGCTTTTCTTTTTCTTGTTGTTTCATCTGAGCTTCAAGTAGTAACTGTTGAATGTTCTTTTGAACATCCACTGAATCATAGGTGTAATACTTTTGATCAACTTTACATTCTAATTTTTCTTTACTTTGCATCAACGTTTTAGTGAACACTTGTAAATTTTGACATATGTCAAAGGCTTTTTCACATAAGGTAAGATCTTCGTTAATAATTTTCTCAATCATCTCGCTTTCTTTTTTGTCAATCGATTCCACTAATTTTTCACTTTGTCTCTCAACCTTTTCTTAATAGTCTTTTACTTTTTCAAAACACTTCGACACTTTGTTAGTTTTCTGCCTAAATAATATTCCTCATCGATTTCTGTGTCCAACAGACCATCACCCTTTTGTATTTCCACCAACTCTAAAATATTTCGGAACCTAGTCCTTACACCTTTAATATATTGTATACTCGCCATTTTCTGATGTAGAGAATTTTGATTATATTTATTTGTTTCACTCCACTACTAAAACACCTGTTGATCTACTTGTTTTCTTGTAATAACTTTATACACACTTTTGACTTTTAATCGAACTTTTTACATCTTTTTACTCTATAATTCCAGACATTATTTTTAAAAGCAAATGCTTCTTTTCTTACTTTTCAATTAAGCCAGCTTTCAACTTTCTTTCTGTTGATATTTAAGAACTCGATTTACCTTTAAACTTTGTTTCCTTTTTCATTTCTTGACTGTTCCGTTTAACTTCTTTTCTCGACTTTTGCACTTCTTTAACTTGCCTACATTAGATTCAGGAAGAGTTTTATACACTTTAACTTTCAAAAAAAATTTATATCCTCTTTTTCTTTATCTACTCCTGAGCTGTTTGAATTGCTTCTTTTTAAATTTCCAAGTTTTTAAGATCCATTATATTTCATATATCTGTATATCCGAAGATCCGGTTCGCGGGACCATTTTGTAGTTAATTCTAGTACTTTTCGTTTCGTTCCGTCTGTTCAACAATGTTTGATAGCTTATATTCCGTCTAAAAAAGGAGCGGGAAATACTTGTCATGTGACCAGAATAATAACGCTGATGTGGCGATGAAATAATGAAAATAAGAATCCAAAAGAAGTCCAAAACAGCAAAATTGAAAATGTTGCAGGCTCGACTTGATTGAGCTTGTTCATGGACGGTACTTCAAATGCAAACTACCTTCTGCACCACCTAGCACCGGCCAAAGCAGTATTCAACAAATTCATACGGTGGTTATCTTGGAACCTTCAATGTGACACTTCTTTCCGCCATTCTATGAAAAGCGGCATAGGTCCCAAAGTTATACAAAGCGTGTGGCCTAAACGGGAAAATAATGGGCGGAACTAAGCAAAATGGAATTTTTAAAGGGGATCAGAGGTTATAAAGCCTGCATATCACAGATAAGAAGTCAAAAGACAACGTTAAAAAGCAGGCAACATATCCTAGTGGTGATTCAACATTATATCCTCCCATAAAGAAAACTATTTACAACCTCCACACGCACAAACAACGTTGATGTGGCGATAAAATAGAAAAAATAAGAATCCCACATCAAGTCCAAAACGGCTAAATTGAAAATAATGCAGGCTCGGTTTGATTGAGCTCGTTCATGGGTGGTACTGTCAAGGGCAAACCAATCTACACCCACCCCCTCCACTAGCACCGGCTTAAGCAGAATTCAAAATTTTAACATGAAATAGCAGAATTATGAATTTAGAAACATCTGCAGATGTGTTCTTTCGGCGATTATCATAGAACCTTTAATCTGACACTTCCGTGCCATTCCATGAAAAGCGGCATATGGTCCCCAAGTAATAAAAAAACAATTGCCCTAAACAGGAAAGCAATGGGCGTAACTAAACAAACTTGAATTTTGAAAGGGGATCAGAGGTTATGAAGCCTTCACATCACAGAAAAGAAGTCAAAAGACAAAGTTAAAAAGCAGGCAACACATCCTAGGAGTGATTTAACATTATATCCACCCAACAAGAAAATGCCAAAAAGTTCAAATGAAAAATGCCACAATCACAACAATATGCTGAATGATCTTTAAGGATCGGAAATATAACATGTCTGGAGTTTTTCATGCCTGTATCATTAACCATTGATCATCTTATACCATTAGACCACTGGACTGAATAATCAATGTAACAATACTCTGCAACATTCATAATTGCGTCAATTTACAAATCTTTTGCTTGTAACTTTTTGGCAAGCCAATTGTTTTGGAAAAGTTGTTCCGGTTAGGTGGTTTACTGCTTACATTTGTTAGTGCATGGTGGAACGTGAAACCAGTCTAGGTCTCCGCTGCAATCGTGTTAATTCGGGCGATTCCGTCACACTGCGGAATCAGACGACGTGATTTTATGGAAATCTAAGCTATTTTAAGTTAATTCGGTAATCCCAGATTGTTCTTATAAATAGGATTTCTATTCTTACTTGATTTATCGGTTAAAAGCGTAAGTAGAAGGAAGAAATAAATTATAAACGAACATGTTTAAAAATTTTTGTCTTTTTAAAAAATAGCCCATGCATATCATTAACCTTACCACGTGCTGATCAATAGATATAATCAGTGGACTTCTGGTCATTCTTTTCTATAACATTACGCTGGTGGCACAAATGGGCACAGATCCTCGTCCAGTCTTGGGGTTACCCTACCTGTCCCTTTTGAAACATTTTTTTTAAATAGCTAGGTACCTTGTTTTTTACTGGTATATAAGGTCAATTTCTTTTTCATAATTATTTCTTTATTATAAAGAGTTGATTTAGGAGGTTTTTAAAGGGATGGTATGATGGCACAACTGGGCAAGCCTTTCCTTTTAAAAGGAAATTTTCTTTATTTTTGTATACATTGCTTGCAATGTATACCGAGTTATAAGCTAAATCTCCACAGGCGTTACAGGTTATTCCGCAACCGAACAACATCCACTTCCGGATAAAAACCGCTATAGAAACCAGTTCTTCATTCTGTAGTACTTTTACATTCCGACTACACATCATTAAAGTAGTGTTTGCAAAGTTGTTTTAATGCTTAAAAAGTTCCAAATCGTTCATTTTCATGAAATAATACATTCCTTTATAGAAAATGAAAAATAACAGTTCATTGATAAAATCGTAGTATATACCTACGCGTTAAACTTCGCATACACGCAAGCGCATGCAAGCATGAATGATTACATCACAAATATAGTAAAGTCGCCAGAATTATATATGAGACCACGGATTTATATTACAATATAAATCCGTAATGAGACGAAACATCTAAGATAGATATTCAATCAAATAAAATTCCTAATTTACATTAATTTTATGCAATAACATTGTCCAAAATGAGTATGGAGCTAAGTAACAAAATTTATTTGCGTATTGACCGTTTCTAGCTAAACCCCGTTTTCCGGTACGTTACGGATTTAGCTCTGAGGAATTATTCATAATAAAGTACACAATACTCTTTTATGATTTTTCTGGGTTTTCTTTCAATATTTGACCGTTTTAGGTGAAGAAAATTGATGTGTTTAACAATTATCAATGTTCCTTTAACATCTTTGAAAAAATTTCAAATAATAAATTGTTTATAATGAAAATTCATTAAATAAAAACAGTCGTAGTGGCATCTTCCATTATTAATATAGTCATTTTCTGCGTAAACCTTGTAATTAATTTATTTTTTGTATAGAATCATATAATCAATGACATTTAATTACTTTCTTACAAAGAAATAACTGTTTTATTTGACATTAATGAAAAACAAGGCCAAAAACATAGAATTCGTTATTACACTCCATTTAGTTGAAATCCCCAGAGCTGTGTACAGAAAGTTACGGAAAACGGCGTTTAGCTAGGTTTTCGAAATCGCTAATACAGGAAATGTTGTTGTTTTTATAACTAGGCAATTTTCTGACTTTGAAAAATAGAAATTTCGTAAGTCATTCATTTGAATACCTTTTAACACATTTTCCTTTCACTTTTGTATGCCTAAGATTTTTGAAAAGATACATGTTTCGAAATTCAACGTTTATTGCCTGATTCAGTAATGTGTAAAAATAACGATTCGGCCACTCTACAATTCGATCCATAACAATTCGTCGTACTTGGGATATTGACGATTAAGCCAGAGCATGGAGCTAAAATAACATATGCATTTCGACTTTCATATAATTTTAAAAAGTGCCTTGCGGTTAAACAATTCAGTGTGTCTTGGATAGCCGTACGTATCTCACGTACAGTTAAAGCTTTTGACTAGCCGTACGGCTAGCCACTTCCTAAATGTTAATGGATAAAAGTTAATGTTGTGCATGCAAGCGGTACTAATGTTGGGGAATTGTAGACTCGTTATAAATTATCAAAGACAACTGTCACGCATATCAAGAGTATATACACATGTACCCTTGTCCCAGTGGTGAAACTTATAGGCTGGCTCAGGGTGAGTTTATAGATCGTTGAATGTTAGTCATCCATCGTATGTCAACTGTGGTCTGTCCACATTTAGCATCGTCGGATACCCACGGCCGAACCATTAACATTTATCAGTTTTTACATGTTACATGATAATCAACCGTACGTATCCGACAATGACATTAAGTTGTTAATACTCTGTGTGTGACAGGTTTTGCTCCGAGTTTGAACATAGATCATCTTGGTTGAAAATCAGAAGTAGGTCATAGTAGCCAAAAATAGAAAAATGTTTTTAGCTGAATATTGTGTATGTTAAAAAGTAGGTCACATAGCCTGATTATGGAAAAAAAACTTGGTTACTTTCTGTCCAATATAAATGAATTTGTTGGAATGGTTGTATTTGCAGGCTTTATGTAACAATTATTTAATAATGAAAATATTAAAGTACATGTACATCTGATATGATTTGATTATAGATTTCATTTTTTATTAATAAACGATATAGTAATTCATTAGAAAATTAATGTGTAGAGATGTGTAGAGATGAATAAACACACCAGAATATATATATTAATGCATCAAAGTACGAGTACAGTAAATAGATCTGTAACATGGAAAGCTATTCAAAAGGATGTACTGTAATTTTGAAATTAAGTCTTGTAGGATGATTCAATTAATTGAATTTGTATAGAGTTCAAGCCAGGGCATGTCTTTCATTAGATAGCACTTAAGACTCAATATTCTATACTGCAGTCCATTAACGGGTGTTCAACAAACTAATTTCTTTATTGGTCTTCTATCAGCTTGCCTAGCAATACACAGTAGGAACATTACATTTTCCTTGTCTCATTAATAACTTAGGAAGAAATAAGCCTTAGTTTGAGTCACTTGTTAGGGACAGTAGTTAACCATGTCCCTTCAGATCTAGGTCATCCCTCTATATTCTATATATGACGTCATCATCCTCGGTGCAGGGAATTTTTGACTGCATATGTGTAGACATATGTGTAACTGTAGACTTAGATCTAGGTCATTATTCTTTATTTAAGATATTATTTTAGTCCCAATGGATAACATATTATGTGTAAAACAAACAATAAAAACGGCATAATACCAGCCGGTGCAGGGATTTTTGACTGTATATGTTTAGACATACATGTATGTGCATTTGCTGTAGGTCTAGATCATTTAACATGATTGATGTCATCAAACTGGTGCTAGTAAGTATAATACATGCGTACACACGTTTACTCAAGGATATATGTACGGTTGATGAAAACATGTACATGTATATGTAAACTTATAAAACGAATCATTGATACTATGATAATAGCCCGTGTTTTGTACGATGACACATTGATTTCGCAACTTTTTGGATTCCCGATGAATTCTATAAATACTCATGAGGTAATTTTAAGTAATTTTCCACTACGAAGACAACGGCCGAGGAAAGCACGCTTTATATTAATGTTTCTCCAATCGTAGGAAGGTGAGTGTCTGTTTTATTTAAATCAGTCGACGTGTTAAAAAAAAGTAAGCACATTGACAGAAATGTCTTTAAGCAAAGCGTTAAAAATTATTCATGCATTCTGATGTTAACCCATGATTAAAGTAAATCAGTTGTACGCTGCTATCAAATTCAACAGTTCATAATGTTACGACTCATTCGAAAAACCTCCATTTTTTATATCAAGTTTAAATTCACTCACTTAGTCCGTTTTTTTTACTCTTATTAATTAAAAATTAGCACAAAATTACAAAAGATTATATGATGTACGTTGAGAAAAATATCAACATAAATACTAAATGAGTAGTAAATTTTTATCTAAAGCATTACGTGTTATGACTCACGAGTCAGTTTACTGTACGGCTTATTAAAAGTAAGCCGCGGATCGAATGAGCGCTTTCCAATGGCGCAATTGATACAGTAGATTGCAACTATATTTTAACTATGTATGTATAAAACTATCTAAGTCTTGTAATCTACCATACACTTTTATTATATCAGCGTCATCCGTGTCTGTAATGCACTAGATAACAAACTTAAATCCAGCAAACTATGGGTTTTATTTCCGTTTTCCACAGATCATACAAGTGTTACATGTAATTGGCTATCTCTCTGTAGAGACAAGTTGTCTTCAAAAATGCTGGTAAATGAATGCATATAAACTAAGTACACTGTAACATGTTAATGTTTCTATAAATACAGACAATAAATAACAACACGATATGTTTTGTTACAATTTTATTGATTAAATGGATACATGTTATAGTTTATCATATAAAACACTATTCAAATATAATTATATTCATTGAATGTCAGTAGCGTTTATCCAGCTGTTAAATTGTTTATGGTAAAATTTTCATTTTACGAACAATAGTTTAGTTTTCCCCCTTCCTTTCGTTCTCAGGACTTTTTCCACCTTCCAAGTTTGGTCTGGATTGATATCAATATTTAACAATTCAGGCTCATAGAATGTTCCGATAGTTTCCTCTTGTTGCATGTCTTGAAGTCGGTAAATGGGCAATCGTCCTCTGTAATATCGTTTGTAAATCTGAAACACTTCACCGGAATACGTCTCATCGTAGGCGCGCGTAAAAGCCTTCTTTAAGTGACTGATTCTCACGTAATCTCAAATTTTGTATTTAAACGGTTTTAGTTTTGCATTTTTTGTCTGGTGTCTTGGATGTTGAGCAAAATACGTAGCTAATCTCACTTCTTCTTCATTAACATCTTCAACATTGGCCGGTGTTGTTCCGATCGTTCTGTGGAAGGTTTTGTTATAACTGTCAGCCATGTCTTGCAAAACCGGTAAATATGAATAATCATCCGTGTGTGTAAAATAACGATATATTTTACGCTTGATGGTTAATATAGCTCTCTCTGATGTAGATGCTTTTGTTTCATTCTGAGTAGGGAAGTAGCGAATGTCCTTCTTTCTCATAACGTCTTGTACATTTTTGGTGCGAAATTCTTGTCCTGAAATTTAAACGATAAGACCATCGTAAAAATAGACTAATGCAAACAAAAAATTAAAAGACAATATGTTTTTATCAAACACGTGTATACACACTGGATTATATGCTTTAAACAGAAGTACCTTTATCAGTGATTAACTTGGCAGGTGATCTCTTGGAAATGATAAATATTTGCTGAAACGCTTTAGCCACATCTTCTCCAGTTTTAGATTTCAATGGTTGTAGCCAAACGTATTTGGAGAATGTGTCTATAACCAACAAGGTGTATTTATAACCATCATTCCAGTTGGCGAATTTCACCATGTCTATTAAATCAGCCATCCACAAATCGTCAATGCCGGCACTCACAACATGATTGCGTTGAAACCGTCTTCTCACTGGTTTGTGAAGACTGTAAGATTCTTGATTATGTAGAAATTGTCGAATTCTATGCATTCCTATATTATAATTGCCCTCCCGTTTCACCGCATTGTATAACTTTTGTGGGCCGCTAAAACTGGCTGGATGTTTTGGATCGAAATATATTTTCTTTAAATAATCCTCCCAGGGAGCCATGTCTTTACAGTTCAAAGGTTAACACTTAAATATTGGATTAAAAACAAATACCTTGATATATCTAGTCTGTGTCGTTGTCTGTCTTGCTATCAGTTTCTTCAGCGGACTCATCATCAGATAATATCTCGCCGAATAGATCTGTAAAATCGTTTCTGTACTTCTTTAAGACCCGTTTCACAGCAGTTGAAAGGTTTGCTCCTTTATTACGGAGATCATCTATCTTTTCAACAATACTACGATGAGTCGTATTTGTCCTTAGTGGAAACCAGTACAGTTCCAATAAAGACTGATATTTTCCAAAAAAAAGTTTTTCCTTGTACGGCTGAGTACGTTCATCGGCCATTTCTGCTGCCTCGTCTTCATTTTCTCCGTCCTCGATATATTTATCGTATAATGCATTGTGTCTGTCTTTGCTTTGTCTTTGTGCAGCTTGCCAAAGATGCAGATAACCTTCGTTTTCATCGATATCGCTACTTATTTCGTCCTCATCTGTTTTCATTTTCTTAGATGCAGGTTCGTTGCTCTCTGGACACCATCCCCTTTTAACGTGCCTTTGCACGTCGTGAACAGTGTCAAATAATTGGCCACAATCATCGCAAGGGTGTCCTTTTTTTTCCATGATTTCTTCTGAATTATTTTCTAAGTAATCCAACGAATTTACTGGCTCTTCGATGTGACCCGTTTGAGTTCCAACTGCAGAATGATTTACTTCTGGCAAACCGTCTTCTTTTATAATTTATTGAGGGGTCACGTGATCAACTGGCTGCACTGTGTTTTGAGATCCTGACTCTTTAAATTTTAATCTTTGGTCTTCAGGAGTGAATGGTTTTAAATCGATGAATTAATACCCGTACGGATACTTTACAGCTTTCATAAACATTTTCATAAATTTATCTATTCGCCCGGGGTACATTTGTCTAGCCAGTGTCATAATAGACTGTTTGTCTACTGGGTTATTGAACAATGCCAAATAATGACAGTTTCGTCGTTGCGTTGGATCCTTATTTTCAAACAATTTCTGATTAATTGAAATTACGGATAATGATCGATGGTGAGAACCCTCCGTAAACAAGTCGGTGATACGTTTATCTTTGCAAGCTTCTGAGTACAAATCGTCCAGTATCAGTAAATTGTTGATGCTAGGGTCAAAAAAGTCATCGTCTTCCAAATCAGCTGGTATGCCTTGAATAAACTCCACTTTTGGTAAAACTGTTCTTTTAATAACGGTATACATAGGTTGCCACCTTTTGTAGAGCCATACAATTCTTTGTATGTTGGGATGGATCTTATTAGTATTGTTCTGCAATACATCTTTAACCATCGTTGTTTTACCACATGCCGTTGGTCCTGAAATCATCATGGTGAATGGATGTTGTAACATCGTATCATGCGCTGTTTGCTTCGGCGTGAAAGGTGACACATCTCGTTGTGGTTGTTGCGACGACGGAGTGGTGATCTGGTAGTCCGATGCTCCGAAACGGCTCTTCGGTGCTCCAAATTGTGTTGTCGGAGCTCCAACATGGTACTCCGGGGTTCCAAAAGTCTGGTGCTCCGGGGCTCCGGAGTGGTGCTCCGGGGCTTCAGAGTGGTGCTCCGGGGCTCCTGAGTGGTGCTCCGGGACTCCAGAGTGGTGCTCCGGGGCTCCAGAGTGGTGCTCCGGGGCTCCGGAGTGGTGCTCAAGTGCTCCAGAGTGGTGCTCCGGGGCTCCAAAATACCGTCCTGGTGCTCCGATGTGGTGCTCCGGTGCGCCCATCCTAATTATCGGCGCTCCATACTGCTGTATTGATGTCCCAAAATGTAATACATCCGCATTCTGAATAATATTATGTTTTCGCGTTTTATGTCTAAGTAGACTGTATTTGCTACAAAATGATTCGTTGCACAATAAGCAAGTTATGTTTTCCATGTTGACTACCTGGTGGCTAACTTGCAAATGACGTTGGCACTAATAATTCCTTCATTTATACCCATGTCAAGACATTGTTAGCCAATTAAATATCTTCCTTTTCAACCAATCATAATATACCATTTAAACTATTGTAACCATTCGCATAACAGCTTAATTGACCAATCATAATTGACAAATACATTTAACGAGAGCGCATGCGCAAGTATTAATTTTATAGAAGTGTATACAATTATTACTTCATTACATGTACAGATTTGGTGCTGTGCACATCGGAAATTACAGTAAATATAATATAACCTGGATAAAAGTATAAGGTATGTTTAACTTTAGTCTCGTCTGACTTTTCTGTAGTCTCGCCTGGCTTTTTGTAGTCTCGTCTGGCTTTTTTTTGTAGTCAAAATTCTGTGTTATATTAAACGGATATTTGTATATACAAATGTACTTATGTGAACAGCAATATGTATCTATAGATTTATAGTATGTATAATATATAGTATGTACCATATTTCACTGAAAGTGTATTTATTGACTTGTATATAGTTTTGTTCTACTTTTAGACCATGGCGTACCAATGTGAAGTGTGTGGAGATAACTTTACCAAACTGAGTCACTTGTTGAAACACAGACGAACAGAAAACCATTGGATGGAACACGGATGTGATGTGTGTGGAAAAACCTTCACACGGAAAGACAACTTGGAACAGCATAAGAAGAAACATACTGAGAGCAGATTACATTGTGAAGAGTGTGGGCAGTCCTTTAGTCGACAATTCACTTTGAACAGACATAAAGCACGCTCACATCAAACTGGCAGTAGACACAAACGGCATGCTGAAAACGATATTGGTACAACAGCCAAACGACTGCGTCAAATCGATGACCACGACAGTTTTACTCTATAAACAAAATAAGAGAACAGCGCATTCATAAATTCAGAACTACTGGTTCTACATACAAGGTCACTTTCAATGATATAGAAGTGATTGAAGATGTATTGTTAACCTTAAAACGACTATTTTCCTCTATAATCACGGATTTAACTAAGGGTTCAAAATCTGACGACTTGGTACGATTGACTGTACAAAGCCCTTCACTGGACTATCCAATAGTTGTGCCCTTTATGAAAGTGTCAGAACTTACAGTGAATAGATTCATGGCGGAAATAGAAAGAGTACTTCAGTCCAACGAGGATTTTGTAATAGACGAGTCTCTGCTTTTTGAAGTGACTCTAGTTGATATGCCAAACGGAGGTACGGGTAAAAGATGTAGGTTTGTTAATTCAGACAAGTTTTTTGCAAACGATGAAATGTATTTTGCAAATAAAAAACAATGATAATTTGTGTTGTGCTCGAGCTATTGTGACTGCAAAATCTAGAATAGAAAAACACAAGAAATGGAATAGTATACGTCTTGGAAAATTTCTGCAAGAAACCATGGCTCAACAACTGCATACACAGGCCGGTGTGCCGATCGGAAAATGTGGGTTAGATGAAGTGAGAAAATTCCAAACTGTTCTTTTGGATTACCAAATTCACATTATATCTCAAGAACATTTTAACGGTATTATATACAAAGGTCCTGAAACAGAAAAGAAAATTTATTTCTACTACCACGAGGGACATTACGATGTCATAACAAGTATGCCAGCATTCCTGTCACAAAGTTATTAATGTACACAGTGTGACTCTGGATACAGTAATAAAGAAGATCACAAGTGTAATAATGTGTGTCATTCATGTCGCAAGATACACGACGATCTCGAGACAGAATGGATCCATTGTGAAAAGTGCAACAGATTTTTTCTTGGTCAGAAATGCTTTGACCTTCATAGGCAAACTACATCCAGGGGTAACTCGACCTGCTCATCAATATACCGATGTTGTGATTGTGGAAAAACAGTCAACAAAAAGATAGACAACAAACATATTTGTGGACGAACATATTGTAGTACATGCAGGGATTTTTACTTTGAAGGACATAAATGTTATATGTTGCCTGAAGACATCGAGCTGGAAGACATGTCCATTGAAGAGGAAATTGTGAATGAAATTAGAAAATGTGAAGACATTTATCTTCTTTGATTTCGAATGCACACAGGACGATTTTGTACAGTGTGAACAGGGTTTACAAAAGAGGAAACCTG